CGCGAATGTAGACTCTCTCGCGTGCTAATTTATGTCTGCAAACGGCGAGTTTTGCGATCGATTCTTTATCAGCGAAAATTTAATCGTTGACGCGGCGATAGGAGGTATTCTGTATACAAATTTGTAAAACCATTGCAGATCAATCGCGGAGCGATTGCATTGCAAATCACTCGTGGAATTTATATTGCGTTTAATTGAGTTGATGAAATACGAAAATGCTTGTGAGATTAATTTGCCGTTAAATCACACAGTGTTTAAGGCGCATTAGTGCTGGTCTACAACCTTGTTTTAAAGGGTATTTAAGCTCTAAGCTGTAAGAAATTGACCAATCACAATGGAATGTGAGGAGAATACTCGATTGTGATTGGTCAATTTCTTACGGCTTAAAGCTTAAATACCCTTTAAGGTTGTAGACCAGCACTTACAAATTGCTTTTGTAGAATTTTCAAATTGCATTGATTAAGCATAAAAGTGAATGTAAGGTATAACTTGCTTCCTTCTTTAAATTCACAATGAAAGTATAGCGAATCAATCTTGATCAAGTCTATTTCGAAAATATGATTTTTCAAATATTTAATGCGTGAATGTTTCAGAAATCTGTGTGCATCCATTTCTTTTTTTTTTTTAATTTTGCATGCAAGATATGATTAAATTGTAACACAAATTTTTACAAATTTTTATTCGGTCACTTATTACGGTAGTCTATTTTATGTCTCTTTGACTGCTAGACCTATTTCCTTGGTGGTCTCGATTATCGACTAATGAAGACCCACAATTTCACTGACCTTACTTTAGTTCTCTTATACTATAAATTTCATTATAATTTTTGCTATATTTCGTAAAATTCGCAAAAGAGAGAACGACGGAGGAAAGTTCTCCGTCTGTTTTGATTTTGGATTTGTAAACAGAGCCATTCTCCAGTTTTGTTACATCTCTCTCAACCGCGTGAGCTTTTTTTAGTAACTTGATGCAAAATTAATTTAAATTTGTTTGTCTACTTAGAAACTATAAAATTAATATTGCTCATTTATTGTTAGAGGCGTTACGTAGCGAATCAATTCTTGATCAATTCTTGATCGAATCTATTTCGAAAATATTATTCTTTCGAATATTCGATGCGCGAATGGCTATAAGAAATCCCCATCCATATAGCTTTCATTTTTCTTTCAACAGCCATTTCCTTGGGGCGATGGGAATCACACGTTATTCCATAATCCTGTGAAAAACCCGGTGCCTCCGCACGGTTATGAAGTCGAGGATCCAAACAGAATCGCCAAGAAGGCGGGCAATTAGCAGAAGCGTGAGAATAACTTGATCCTGTTAGTGGCAGCTGGAAATAGGCGAGACAAATATGATGGCTTGTCTGCCGACGCGCGACGGTCGTTTTAATTTTTAATCGGTTCTTGTCGCCCCAGAGAAAGAGAGAGAGAGAGAGAGAGAGAGAGAGGGAAGGGGAAGGAGGATCGGATATGAAATATTAAATTTTAATTTGGACTCTCGGTTGCATAAAGTGGTTGTAACTCGTTTATCTATTACTCACCTAACGCACTGTGACATTTATTTATTCGAAATTGTTGTGGAAATAATTGCTTGAAACCGCTGTATAAAAGTTTCAATAAAAAAAGATTTCCAGAGTCGTTAAAATTGTTTCTCTTACATTATTATATCTTCCGTCATCTAAGACTGGTGCTTTTTTGCATAATTATTCCTCTCACCGCGACTGTATTAAATTTAATCGAGTAAAAGGATTAGGGAACGCGGTTTCTCATAATTTTGAGATTTCGAAAGATGTAGTTTCCGCGAGAGATTGTTCGGGGATTAAATTTAGGCTCGGGACAGGCTCGAAAGAGGCGATATTTTTTTTCAAAACACCTCACTGTCAGATTAGAGCGACAACAACGGAAGGGTTCCGAAAGGGTTAAGGTGACTCCGGCGGGAACGAGACGCGCACGCCGGAGTCGCGGCGTCGCGACGCCGCCGTTTTCGATCTCGCCTTCTCGCGGGGGTTCGTCGGCGCGCGAGTGGCGCAGCTGGTCTCGCGCCTTCTTGGCCATTCGGGGGCGATCAATAGACCGGGTGGCGGCGGAGGACGGTGGTTGTCCGGGCAGTGGCGAGTTAACCACCCCGGCGTCACATTTCTATTATCTAACGACAATCTCCGGTATCACGTCTCCATTATCTAGAAACGATCCCCGGCGAGATCTCACGTATATCCGCCACGCGGATATGGGAGGAGGGAGGGGGCGGAGTTATCTTTGAGCTCTGTCATCGCGGAGTCGTCACGACACACGGCACCCTCCATTTCAGAGACGCGCATATACGAGCATCCGCAAATACGTCGATTCTCTTTCGTATATACATTTTACGATAAATCGCTGATAAATAATGATGATCGCTGGATCATGGTCTTGGTCAGCGTGTGATCGCACGGGAAATTCTCCTTTGGGAATTCCTCAGTAAATTGCTTTTGCATTATTCGTTTTTTTTTTACGACAGATCACTAGTATACTTTTATATAATAAATTATGATATAATCCTTATAGTACAAAAATGTGCGATATCTGGTGTAAATTATAAAAGCGTGTTGCAAATGCAGAATTTGAAAGATGTCACATATAGACATGCCTCAAACAACGATATGCCGCTTCTCGTGTACAGTATATATAAGCGAGTCTCTTAAACCCTTTAATAATTAAGAGAGAAGAAGGTAATCGCAGCCTGGACCACCCTTGGAGCCGATACATAAAAATCTCTTCAATCATGTGACGTGCGTAAATCGCAATAAATTATACGCTACGGCGCGGCGGTCTACGGCGCGCGAGGCCTGCTCTTTGTTGTAAAATAACATGTTTGTTCACATTGGCGCCGTTTAATTTACGGCCCTGCCCGCGGGCTCGTTGGGTCGCGAGGTATACGAGCTCCGATTGGCCGGCAGCGATTTCGCGGGTTCGACGAGTCGCGCGTGCGATCGCGGCCTCCTTCCGCTCCGCCGTCCGTCAGTTCAGTCGGTGGCGACGCGTCGCCGTGTTCGCGTGTTGTATGTCGCGTGTGCGCGCCCTTCGATGTCACTTGGTCCCGTCGTCGTCGTCGTCGAGTCGCCCCCCTTAAGCACCCTTCAATCGCGTCCCCGCCGTCCCCGCTGTGACATCATTCGCATCATTCGACGTCATTGTTTAACCCTTTTATCGGTAAATTAAACCGCCCGCCTTTTTCGCCGAAAGCTTTTCGACCCGTTCCTTCCTTTTAATCGAAGCGACGTGAATTCGTACGATATCGGAAAGAAATCTACGGGTTAATTTTCCTTAACTAATTGCGACGCGTATTAATTTTATTCTGTGTATCTTTATTCTTTCTAATATTAAGAAAATTCTTGTCTTTAATGTTGTCACGATATCGTTACTCTTACGACCGGTTTTGAAAAGGATCATAATGAACGATAATGCACAGTAATAAAAGCTCATTTATATTTATTTACGAGAAATGTATAGTATACATTGTATACTATGGTACTGTGTGTCATCGACTTTAAAAATCATTCATATTTAAAGAGATTATTTACAGAGATTTCTTAAAAATGTCCCCTCGCGATATATTATTAATTAATAATCTGTTTAACATTTTATTCATCGTCTTTTAAAATTCATTCTCAATTAAATTAATAATTCTATTTAATTAAGCACCCTAACGCTTTATTTCTGGGAGTGTTATACATTATATGTATATGTGTATAGTTATACATAAGTTGTTTTTTATTAAATTATTTTTATTATATATAATATATGTAGATATAATAAAAGT